ATCGCTGAGAACCCAAGAGGCTGCGAAAGGCGCAGGCAGGCACTGCCGGGCGTGGAGAGCCAAGGACACCACAGAGACCAAGCTAGCAGCCCGCCGGAGAGGCGGCTGTTCATGCAGTTCAAGTATCCCGCGACTATTGAAATGAGCCAATCATCAGGGCCGGGAGCCCGTGACGTCACTCGGGCGACGCGTCGCAAGCGAGCGAAGGCGGCCGCGCAGGCACCGAGCAGGGGCGGGGCGGGGCAACGTTGGAAGGCGGGAGGAAAAACGCCTGCGCCGGGGGGGAGGCGGGGCCTGGCTTTACGGTGACTTTAAATGAAGCCTCGGGGCGGTCCCTGGGCTCTGGGGCCGCCAAGCTTGACTGACTTGGTTCCCAAAGTGTCAAGTCTGACGCAGCTGCTAACTGGCTTGGTAGTCTTGGTCAAGGTTATTCAGTGTCTCCGAATCTGTTTTCTTATCTGTACATTGTTGCTACCTACACGTCATACGGTTGTCGTTCGGATTACATTATATGCATAAGTCATTTAACACGCTGCTCACATAGTAACAAAGATGATGTCATCTACCACTTAGGTGCTTTCTTATTTTTCCTAATGAAGATGTAATTAATATGAGGTGCCACCCTGAAGTGCTATTGATATATTTATATATATATATATATATATATATCAATAATAGTAATTACTATAAGAAATTCAACTAGACAGTCATTCTGATCTATGTTAACCCACGCTGTAGCAGCCAATAAAAAGCACCCAGTGAAATTCTAGTGACTTAGATATAATTATGTGTTCCCTTTAGAAATGAAGGTTGTTCGAATATAGTAGATATGTGACCTCATTAAAGTAAAACTCTTAGCGATATGTGCCTTTAACAGATTTTCATATTTAATATTCAAGGCTTGCACATAACTAATATAATGGTATATAATTAAGCACGATTGTTTTCTCACAAATTCATGTGTGCCCTTCTTAAAAACATAAAGAATAGCTTATTTTCCATTATAATCTTTAAGCCATTTTAAAGCAACCTTTAAATATAACATTCCCCTGAATATGAATAAACATGAATTAAGATTAATGAATAACACTTCCACAGCCTTAAAGTCATGCTTTCTTTCATACATGATAAAAAGGAAATAAGTGGATACTAGTGCAGGAAAATCTAAGAAGCCATCACTATTTCTGCACTATTCACATGCACACTTGTATAGCTCTACTCATTACAGCACATCAAGTTCAAGTCCTCCCCACCCCCAATCTGTGCAAGCTCTGCTTGTTCCTTTGACCACAATTAATAGCACTGAGCCAACTTAAGCATCTTACAAACTGAGCGCTGGTCACAATGTCACAATGCTCATTACCATGCAGAGTGAAATCAATTGCAAATCAATCTCAACTCCTAGAAAAAAGAGCTGGTACGTTATTTCCACTGGCTGACAACATACATAGTAACCAGGACACAAACCAGGCACCAGGATAATGGGTTCTTGTCCCAGCTTTACAAAATGATAGCAGTCTTCTTCATCACTTAACCTCAGTGAGAATCAGTTTTCTTCTATGATTTGACAAAATAATATGTTGTGAAGATCAAAAGAGGTAAAAGAATGCAAATACATTTTGAAAACTATAAAGCAGTTTACATATATATTATATAATATGTGGGTACAGCTTGTGAAATATTTGAATGTATTTTTATTTTCCAAATATTATTTACCAACATAAAAGATAAAACACCCACTTGCAAAAAATTCATTAAAATACCTTATAATCATTCCACTTGTATTTTAAAAATAAAAATGCTCTCTATTTTCAAAAAGTTGCATTTGTCAAAAGAAATAGAATCATTACTAAAAAAAAGTTGTATCTCAAATATTTTTAGAAAATATTTAAAAGTATTTGAAATAAAAGTATATACAGTTAGCTTGTACTTTTAAACAGACAACTTCTCTGGAACTTTACCTGGTTTATATCTCATGCAGCATCGAAGAAAGCAGTCAATGCATTTTGGTCATAACTGTCCAGAATATCCAGTAAAAGAGGTACTTTGGTTTTTACATTGGTGCCTTTAAACTTGAACTTATCTATGAAAAGATCGGTGATCATGCCTATAAAGAAAAACGTTAATTTCCTGTCATTGACTAGTTCTAATTAATGACATAATACTTAATAAAAGTGAATGATTGCTTGAGACTCTATTTCTAAGCATTTGTAATTCCATTATTTATACACAAACATGAAAGGATTGATGCTTTAAAAAATATTCATTTTGGGGGGATCTTAAGGCAAGTTTCAAAATATAAATCATTTGACTAATAACCAACCCTCTTAACAATTGGTTACAAGCTATTAATTCAGGCAATCAAATACTGGCCAGTTTTGAACTGCTCTGCATATATTTAACATTACAATAAGTGGTTTGTTTTATCCACCAAGCTGACCATTTCGACCTACTATAGAGACTCTGTTCTTAACAGTTTTATTTATATTAAAATATTCCATTAATATGTTGACCATTCTTGGGATTTGACTTGAAGGAAAATACTCCTAGGTTCAAAGATCTGGACAAATTATTTCACCTTTAACTTCTCTCATATATACAATGGCAATGATTCAAGCTGTTAATCTATTTATCCAAAACCCTGGGCACAAGATATGTTTCAGAGTTTTTCAGTTTAGGGAGATAATAAAAGGAACATAGCACATATGGCATAATACCCAAGGGGAGTGAGTGACAGCATTTGATAACAAAACATAGTAATGTTTTTGCAAAAAAATATAAGCAAACAATCCCACTAAGTGGAAAAAAAAGACTATAAATAATTTCATGTCAGTTTAAGTGAGGTTTTGTCATTAAATTCATCAGATCAAATCGGATTTGATTTATGACTAGCTTATCAAGCCAAATGATTTATGAAAAACAGCTTTGTTTTTTGAAGCTTTCTGGATTTCGGAATTGGTGAGAAGAGAGAGTGGTTCTGCACCACCTGTCTTCTAAGTTGCTATAATGATAAAAGACCATGTGCTTGCCGTATAGTCAATACTAAGCTATTAGGTATTATTATTACGGTTTGCGAGCAAGTCCCAGGGTGTAATAAAAGAAATTCGTCAGGTAGGCCTAAGGATTAATGTAGGCTAGTGACACTGACTCTCAGAAGACCGGACAGTGCAAAAAGCATGCATTTGGGGTGAGGAGGCTCTGCAGGCTTTGCCGCTACCTACCTAGGTGACAACAAATTCTCCAGGCTCAGGTTTAGTTAAAAGATGTAAAAACTGGAGATAACGTCATTACCTTACAGAGCTGTTTTTAAGGATTAAATATCTTACATGATTATGAAGATGTTATAAACAGGTGTGCTATGCACAGCAGGTCTTATGTAAAGATTGCAAAAAAAAAGTTTTTCTTAAGCTGGTCCTTCCTTTCCTCTTGCTCTCCTTCCTTGTCAGTATAATTTGTGGAACACCCAATTTCTACCACCAAAGCACAGCAAGGTTTGAACTTTAAACTGACACAGCATATATATGCCTTATTAAATTTTGCCTAAAAATATATTAAATGCTGCATTTTGATATTTCACAACAGCAACAAAACCCGAAAATTTGTGTAAAATATAGCTTAAATTTTAATGCTTCATAATTATAGGCATTTTGCACCTTCATGTATATAGATCCACATTGCATTATACTTGTTTCACTTAATTTTCCTTGCATTTTAACAAGTGAAACTATTAAATATTTAAACTAACTTGAGAAAATAAATATTCTAAGCAACAAACTGGCTGTCACAGGTCCATGACGCTGTGACCTCTGCCTGTCTCCTCTGCCCACCCAGCTTCTCTCACATGATGCTTCACAAACAGCCAGGAAAAAAGAAATATGGCAACGTGTTCTAGACGCGTCCACTAACCATAGAGTCTTTCAAGATGTGCTGGTTGCTTTTTGTATTCTTCCTGTAGGTGATCTGCCTCTTCTAGAATACAGCGATATTCTGGTATCAGAAAGTTTGTATTTCCCTCATGAACCTGCAATTCCTTATTTAAAATAAAAAACAGAAGCAACTTAATGTTCAAAATTCAATCCAGTGTAACTTTAAAGTCTTTAAAAATTTAGAAATCCCATCACAATAAAATAATGATCATGAGTCCATGACACATATACTTACTTTTAAAGCATCAATTAATTGCACTTTCTTAGCCAAGAGCAACTGGTATTCCAGCTTTGGGTGGATTAGAGTTAAAGTGTGTTTGACTGATACTTCATTTATCTCTAGAAGGAGTTGAGCCAGGCACAGTTAGAAAGTCACTTTGATCAGACACATTCTTATTGTAATAACAACAATCAAAAACACCTAGAAAAAAGTGATTCATTTTTCTTTTTTTACCGTATGAGATGTTAAGGTTAATTTTCCTCTTTGTAGCTTCTTTAGAGAGCACATCTTTTAGGATGGATATAGTAGAAATGTTGTCAGATTTAAAAATTCCTTCTCCTTTTCTATAAAATTAATATATATATTTTAAAGAACAGCTTTAGAATGAAATACATCCAGTAAATACATATTTTGTAACTAGTAATTAGTGCTTAGATTTCATTTGATTTTAGATTTCTTTATACACACACTAATATAAAGCATATTAAATGTATAACCTTTACTGTTATATTAATTCAAATTCTGAACATACTTGCAAAGCTAAACAAAAGATGTTAGATATATGCCGCCTAAAAATATGCCAATTTACATTTTAAACAACTTCATTTTCACTAATAAAATTTCCAACAGCTAACCCCTTATGTATATAAAAGGCATTTAGAATTGCTTACTTACATATGTTTTTCTTTGATGTACTCACATAAATTACAACATGACTATATGTATCTTCCTTAAAAGACAGCTGCTATCAAACCTAAGAGTAGCATCTTTTGTTCTTCCATGCCCAGCATCTATTGTCACTTCTTACTGTCGGTCACAGAACCCTTCCTTTTCTTTAGGGAACCACTCCTCTCTCTCTCTTCCTTCTCAATGTGCATAATTTCACTGGCTCTGTCCTCAACCCCATGTCTGGGCCTTAAGAAGGAAGCATTGAGTTTTCCATACTCCTGGCCACTGTGGTTCATGGCTCAACAGTGACACGCAATCCTGGGACTCTTTTTTACTGAACGAGTGGGAAAGAGAGGCTCTATGGTAGCTGCAAAGACGTAGGGCTGGTGGAGCTGCTGGCGGCCACCATGGCACTGCACAGGAAAGCCAAGGAAAGCCAAAAACAGCCGAGCAATGGAAAGGCACCGTCTTGATGACGCCAGTGAAGTCACGGATCCAGTCGTGCTCAGGCAGATTATTGCTGGACTTTCAAGTTCTACGAGTCGATAAATTCCTAGTATTTGGTTAAGCCTGATTGGGCTGGGCTCCTTTTATGATGACCAAAGTTTCCTAATCTATACTGTCTTTTATGTGTTCGGTGCTCCTGTTTATTTGGTTTTCATACACACAAATAGTTTATATTGACTAGCTGTAGGCAAATTCTGATTCTTTTTTCTAGAAAGGTAATACATACTTACTATTTTGATCCCAATTAAAGTTTTAGAAATCTTAAGATTTTCACTAGTCTTTAATTTTAACTGATGCTACTGAATAATAAACACACAGTACCTGACACTGTGAAATGACTCACATGGTTTATCTTCTTTTAATCACCACAATTTAAGGAACTAAGTGCTATTATTTCCATTCCTCAGAAAAAACTGAACCTCAGAGGATGATGTAATCTAGTTAAGGTCAAATGGCTGGAGAGTCCCAGAGCCAAGGTTCAAACCTAAGGTGTCTGCCTCCAAAGCACATGCTCCTCCACTTCCTCCATATAAGTGTATTTTATTCAGGTACCCAAAACACATGTATTGAGCACCACTATGTTCAAAACCATGTGTTACATACTTGGAGATACATACAAAGATAATTAAGAAATAGACTTTGCTCGTAAGCTTACAGTCTAATTTAGAGAGAAAAGCTTACATAAAAGTTATTATATCGGGGGTGCCAAAAAAATGTATACAAGTGGACACTTTGGTTAGTGTTGCTCAAGCAGTGGTTCACGTAATCAGAAGTGTCTGGATGCTGATGGGAACCACTTTGAGCATCTCTTGTCATTGCAGAAGTCAAACGTGACTTGTATTCATCCTTTGTTATCGGTATATATTGAGTATTACAATTTTAATACAGTTTTCCTGTCTTAAAATGTGTATACATTTTTGGCACCCTCTGTGTATTTCAAATAAATAACAATAAATACCTAAGACAGGTAAAAATAAAATGCTAGGGAACAGAGAAGAGAATTAAGGAAGGCTTAAAAAAATGCAGCTATTCATTTGGGCCTTGAAGAATAAGTAGAGTTCTGAGTGTTAAAAAATATATATATTTAAGGACACAGAATGGTAAAGAGCAAAGGCAAGCTGTTATAAAAGCATATAAAATGCTAGTGGCATGTCAAATTGTCTGCTATGAATAAAGTGTGAGGTTCACTGGTACTTTAAAACAGGTGTCATCATTACAGGTTCAAATACAGAGAAGATCCCCTAAAAGGTACAGTGAAACAGCTCCATAGAACTGATCCTAAAACCAGTCAGATTTCTGGAGAGTTTTTGGTTCCAAAAGGTTGCATTCTGAGGTCAAATTCTGAGTTCACAGCTGTTTCCAGAATTCAGCACGGTGAAGTCTCAGCTAGGAAGCAGAAGTAGAAAACCTCAGTAACCTCTTTAGGGAAAGAAACTTTAAGAGACAGAAATAGAGAGAGGATAAAAAGCCCCCTTCCCTCCAAACAAAATAAAATAAAATAAAATAAAATAAAGATCAAACAAAAACAACCTACAGATGTGAGAGAGAATCAGAAGGCAAAGGCCTTGAAGAGGCAGGAGGGTGCAAGCTCAAGGAGTACAGAAGTCAGCCTTACCCAAGCAGGGAGTCATTTCACACATGGGACAAAGGAGACGGAAATCTCAGCCTCTACTGTACTGAGAAACAGAAACTATAGGAACCCATCACATATGGGTGGGAAGAGGGCAGGGGTGCAGCTGGGGGCTTGAGAAGTGTATAGAAGAACATAGTAGGCCAGCCGAGTAGCTCAGTTGGTTAAGAGCAGGAGCTCTGAGCTAAAGGGTTGCTGGTTCGATTCCCACATGGGCCAGTGAGCTGCGCCCGAGCTGAGCTGCTGCTGAGCTGCCAACAGGTGGTAGGATGGCTCAGTTGGTGAGAGCACGTGCTCCTAACAACAAGGTTGCGGGTTTGACTCCCATATGGGATGGTGGGCTATGACCCCCCGCAACTATGGTTGAACATGGCATCTTGAGCTGAGTGGCCGCGAGCTGCTGCTGGGCAGCTGGACGGCAACTGTGGAGCTGAGATAGATACACCCTCCACAACTACAATTGAAGGACAACAACTTGGCTGTTCCCCTTCCCTGATTCCCCAACACTGTTCCCCTTCCTCAATTACCCAATAAAATCTTTAAAAAAAAAAAAAAAAAGAACATAGTGACTTCCACCTCATAACATGAGAGCTTCAAAAACCTGCACGTTTTAAGCTGAAGTTCTGAGCCATTTCCTATTTTTGCATAAAGAAATTCAATCAGAATTGTTGTTAAAATCAGAAAAATGTTCGAATCAATCTGGGAAGAACTGACATATTTACAGTTTTCATATTGATGACTATAGAATACGTTACTCCAACGAATCAAGTGTTTTATGTCAATAAAATTTTAAAGTTTTCTTCATGTAACTTCTGCATATTTCTAATAAAGAATAGTCCTACAGATTTTATATAGACATTTTGTTATTGTTATTGCTACTCTGGAAGGGTCTTATTTAAACAATTTCTTTTATAACTGATGATTGTCGGGAATGGGAAATGTACTGATCTTTCATATTCATCTGTATTCAATCATTTTTAAAACTCATTAATTTTAGTTGTTTTTCAATAGATTCTCTTGAGCAGTATAGGTTTTCAATCCTATTATTTGCAAATTATTCCTGTTTTAAAACAAATGAAAATGTAGACGCTCCATTTATACAGAAACCCTTGTGAAGCAGTAACAAGTTTTATTTACCTGTAGTTACTTTCCAATTGTGTATCCAGGAAGGTGTTCTGGAAGTAAAATGTCACGCATTCTCCTGCTGGAGGCTTTTCAGGAACTTCAGGCAGGCAAAACACCACCCAGGAGTGAACTTCAGCAAAACTGAACTGGCCCGTTAAAGTCAGTGTATTCATGGGTCTGTAATTTCATAGTAGAGGTACACATTTGTGTGTGGATTTGATTGAATACATATGTACATAAAACATTAACAATCAGAATTTTGCAACAGTAGCTAAACAAATATAAAAGTATCCATTTAATTTTTCTCAGATTAATCTTACATATCAGATAAATGAACATTGAGATTTCATGAAAAAAAACAAAACAAAACAAGTGCTTATCTACACCTCTAGCTTTTAATATTCAGTTAAGTAGCATAAATAGCTTGATTTCATTATAACATGCTTGACAAATAAAATTCAGTTTACTCAAGTAGATTTCATTTCTAAAAGTTCATCTTGTATTTCTATTATACGAAGTACAAAGCATACAAGACTCTCCTTAGGGAAATAATCAGCATAATGTGAAGGCACAGAATTGGGCTTTTCAATACGACGAATTTGAATCTGCTCCATTACTTGCTAGCTGTGTGCCATTCAGCAAGTTAGGGACTAATACCTTCTAGCTTGCAAAATCACACACACACACACACACACACACACACACACACACACACACACACACTTGTAAAATCAAACAGAGTTTAAATAAATCAAATGAATAATTATAAACAGTTAAGAAACTACAAAGTTTATGGAATTGAAGGTTCAGAAGAAATTTTAAGAAAATACAAAATTAAGAAAATTAAGAACTAGAAGGGACTTTTGGGACCATCCAAACCAACCCTCTCGTTTGCAGGTGAGAAAACTAACGCCCAGAGAGATTAAGTTATTTTCCCAAAGTCACACAGGAACAGATGTAAGATTATCACCCAAGTCTCTTGAGTCCCAGTATGCTTCTATGCTACCTCCACTAACAACAATTCTCTTTTAAGCAGGAAGACACCTCAAAATAATGTATCCTCTTTAATGTTTTAAAAAAAAAATCTTCCTTAGGAATTGTTCTCCTTATATCTAATTAAATTACATATCTCTAAAATTACAAACTGCAGTAGAAAAAACATGGGCTTTGGCCTCAAATCATAGCTGTTTCTTGTATCTGCAAGTTATTAACTTTTCCAAGCCTCCCTTTCTCATTGGTAAAATAGAGACATTATTACCTGTCTTGCTTAAATGATAATGCACAACATGGGGAAAGTAATCAATCATTCATTTCTTTCCCTTCTCCTTCATTTAAGCCCATGGTTTCTCATTTTCAGGAAAGAAAGCAAAAAACTACAAAGGGAGGAAATGGCAGTCAGAAATAACAGAGGCTATCACAATCAACTGCTCTGCGAGTCTTTTCTGAGGTGAAACAGGAAGAAACGACAATGCTTGAGGCCCTGTTCGCTCACGACAGGTGAGTGTGTGTGTGTGTGTGAGAGAGAGAGAGAGAGAGAGAGAGAGAGAGAGAGAGAACTGTTACTCTATTGGAGATGTCAGAATGGTAATATATAAGAGGAAAGTCCAGCTCAAGCCAGCCTCTAAAAGAAGACAAAGAATCTCATATCTATTAGAAATATTAATCCATAGCATTTAAATATTGGATTTTTAAAATGTACAAATAGCTACCAGAATTTACACTATAAAAGTTAAAAGCACCATGTAATACCCTGAGAATAAACGCTCCTCCTTTGTCCTACCTGTCATGATCAATACAGTGAGTTCTTTGATGGAGTGAAAGGGGTTTGATAAGGTACTGGCGGACCTGGCAGGTTTTGGGTTGAATTCTTGGAGTCACATATGCTTGAAGTGTGCCATACTGGCCTTCAATTGAGCGAATCTGATTCAACACAAAAGAGGAAAGAAAATAAAAGTAATGTTTACAATGTAAACATAATCTTTAAAATGTTCAACACAAGTACTCAAGCATTAGGCCTTAATCTCTTCTGAACTACCTTGTGTAAAATACTGACACTCTATTTAACAGCTACTTTGTGCTACTAGAATAAAGGAAAATTTTAAAAGACTCTGGCAGTTGAAAGCAAAATTAACCCATCTACAAAAGTTATCACCACCACATATTTTTAGGTTATTTGTCTATACTTAGTAATGCTATGTCATTCCAAAAGACACACGTTCTCACATAATAACCTATCACATTTAAAAACACAGGTGAATAATATACGAGTTACATCAAAAAGGATTAAAATTTAGAAGTTAAAGGGATAAGTTGAGTTTTCCAAATAACTAAAATTTACATGGAATATTTAATTTTCTCAGAAATGGGGGTATTATAGCATACAGCTATAAAAATCTATTGACAGAAAAAAGTTTCCAAGAACTTAACTCTTGATTTTCTATAAAAATAAAGAAGCATACTCATAATTTATTATAATATATTTATATTAGGAAATTCTTTTGAGCTATTTTGAAGATGGCTGGTTGAATATTCTGAGAATTCAAAACAATGTAGTTAACTCATTAAACTGTGAAGATGTAATTTTAGACGAGCTGGAAAGCCATCCAGCGTCTCCCTCCCGCGCCCCCACCAGCTCCTCTCCGTTTTAATTCATGGGATGGGTTGTAATACCTCTTATACTACTTGTATGTGGACTAAAATTATTTAGGAAAAAATTACATTTAACTGGAATGTCCTCAACCAGATGTGAAAAAAACTGTGTGATAGCATCTCTTGAAGAAAACATACTTTGAATCTCAGAACATTAGGAACACCAGGAAAAGTTACAGTCCTCCTTAATTTTTAGATCACAAATATATACATANAAATTTAAAAAATCTCACATTACAAGGTAAATAACTAAAATAGATCTGTATGCCACAATATTTAATTATAGAAGTGATTATGTTACTAAATTGCTAAAAAAAAACTTTAAAATATTTTCTCGAGAACAGATAATAATAAATGATATCACTGGAATGCAGTCAGAAAAATACAGATAGTAGGAAAATATAGGGCAAATGCCCAGATACTTCAATAACCAAATGACCTCATTTGGACCATGACTGGATCAAACAAACAATAAAAACAAAAATTAGTGAAATGTGAACACTAAATATTTGATGATATTAAAGAATTGTTAATTTTTCTTAGGTGTGATAATAGTATTATGGTTTTGTTTTAAAAAGGAGTTATCTTTTAGACACATGTACTAAAATATTTACAGCTGAAATTATAAATTATCTTGTATTTGCTTCAAAATAATTTGGAATGGAGAGAATATACACAAGATTGCCAAGAGTTGGTCATTGCTGAAGCTGGAGTCATTACTTTTACATATGTTTGAAACTTCCCATATTAGAAAATTAGAAAAAATATTTCCAGTTAGAGGAAATTAAAGATCGGTAATTTTAGAGAAGATGACTGGTTGACTGTGACAGGTTGACTAATAATAGCAGAGATAATGGTCTGGGCTGAATTAAAACCTAACACGCCATTCAAAAGTCATTACTCTAAAATGAATTGTTTCAGGGAGAAATTTAACGCAAAGATATATCATGTTTTGTTGCAAGAGGTATACCAAGATAAAGAAGAAAGTTCAAACTTACAAATAAAGGTACTTTCAAACATTTTTACCTTGAGTTCCAGCCTTGTGGTATTCGCCTGGCACCGATAAGTGGCAAGAAGAAAGTTGTCATTTGACTGGGAAGAATTGACAGTTAAGGAAAAGGATGAATCCATGTTTTTAACAATAAAAACATCATCAATAATGGTTACCATTTTCTGAGCACCTACCACCTGGGTGGCACTGTGCTAAATGCTTTTTTGCTTATTTTTATAAATAACACTATGCAGTAAGTTTTATTAAGTAAATTTTAATACATGAAGAAACTGAGGCATGAGGAATTCGGTATATTTCCCAAAAGCCAGTTAGTCATGAAATTGGAATTCAAATTCATACCTTTAAGACGCTAAAGCTCATGGTATTTCTATATTGAGTCTCTACAACAATGGTTTAAAATATTAATTTTTCTTCTAAAAATTTAACATATGGTGCCAACGCCTAATGTTTATAAGACAAAAACATCAATGTTTGGTAATAGAATGTCTTTGATTTTCACAAATACTGATAGAGGACTGAGAAATATCTCACCAAGTAGCACAGTACCTGGCTTACTGTAGGACTTCAATACATGTTTGTTGAATTAAACTGGAGAGGCTACTTCATGTATTGTAACTTCTGGAAATTGAACAGTAAATTGCCAAAATAGAAAAGTATATCTGGGTTCATGAATTGCAAATACAAAGCAACATGAAATATTTGATATGCAATTTTCATGTACTGTTATTTCCTGATATTTAATAAATAACTGAAGAAATAAAAAGGATGCAAATATCAAAAAGAAAATTCGAACATTAACATTTCAAATCATTTAAACTTAGTAACCAGAGGCTCAATCAACTGAAAAGTGAATTAATTTTTTTGTATCGTTAAAAGTCAAATATTATGTACTTAAGTATTTATAGAAAAAATGATATAGATTAGAAGAAATAAAATGTCTGGGACTAGGTCTGGAGGGGGAGGAAGAGGGTGAAGAGTATAAAGAAAGACTGGCCGTATGTTGAAGTTAGTGGTGAGTACATGGAGATAATTATACTATTTGAACTTTTGTACGTACTTGAAATACGCATAGTAAGCTATCATTGAAATACCCATAAAGCTATCATTCCAGAAAATAGGTTTCAAATTAGTATAAAATATTCATTCCAAAGAATCCTGCAGTGATGTAAATAAATAAGGTTAATCTTTCATAGTAATTTGGGAATTAAAGATTTTATGTTTATATTAGAGTTTTTTAAATGATCATAACAGTGTAGGCCCTAATCTTTATGTTTTAATTCTAAAAAGGGATAACAAACCATATATAATACAACTGTTATAAAATCTCTTATCAAGAAAAAAAGCTTCACCATGAAATTATATTATATTGAAAATTAGTCCTTCATATAGCGCTCAACTTTGTTCTTTATCTAATCTTTTTATTCCTTCCTCCCTTTTTCATTTGTGTAACTACCTAGCAGCCAAGCCCAGTCCCAGCCCCTGCTCTGGCTTGCCTTGGGAAGTGCAGCCACTCCAGACCTTATGTTTACCTAACTTCTCTTCAGAAGCCACAAGGAGCCCTGTGATTGCTGGTCAGCTAGCACCAAGCAGAAAGAAGTGACACAATAAGCAGGTCCCAAAGCTCTGAGGAGACCTCATCCCAGGTACTTTGCACACAGTAAGTGCTCAATAAACGGCCGCTGAATGAAGGTGAAACAAGAGTCAACAAGCCCAGAAAAGTGAGGAAGGGCAGGCAGAAGGAATCAATCATGTTCAAATGTAGGCGTGTGTGAAAACACAGCATTTTCAAGACATTTTAAGAATGTCAGCTTGGCTGAAATAACGTGCATGGCAAGCAAGGCAGGCAGCAGCTGGTGAAAGATTAGCTGGAGATGTATGTAACCAAGAGCTGAATCACGGAAAATTTTTTATGTCACAATGAGGAATCTAGACTTACACGCAAGAGTAAACAAGGCATCTTTCTAAGGTTTCGAGAAAGAAATGACACAGTGTTGTCTGTCTTTTACAGTAGGAAGGCCTCTCTGGTGGCAGTGTAGGCACAGCTAGCAGTGAGAGGCAACGCTGGAGGCAGAGACAGTGGGGGGTGAGCACGGCATGCAAGCACGCCCGAGGGCGGAGAAGTTAACAGCCTGCAGATGAAGCAGGACTAAGGCAGAACAGCCGGGAAGGTAGAACGGGCAGGAGCCAGTCAATAACTGGATTTAACAGATCAGGGAAAGGAAGGGATCTGGGACAGCACCCCAGTTCACAGGTTATCTGAGGACAAAGAAAGGGAGTCGTAGCAGGTTCTAAGGGAAAGGTTGTGAAGGGGGAGGCTGAAGAAACAGCGACCCCTTGTAGCGTTTATAAGCGTTATTCAAAATGGCGTAAGAGAAATGAGAGCATCTGGACAATTCTGGTTTTTACTCACCTCAGCATCACAGCTGCTGAAGCTGACAACAGCAGAATTTTTATCCACATCGAGTAAATCTATTGGAACATCACTCTACAGTCAATAGTTAAAAAAAACCAAAAGGTTCAGATGGAAATCTAAAAATTTTTACAAAACATATTTTCTCTAAGGGTTATCCTTATGTCATCTTAATTTATATTTGGTAATATGTGCTTCTAGAAAATAAATATAATAGAGAATGTTATATTACAGTGACCTATTTTTTTCTAATTTGGATTATCAGAGATTATCAAATGTCATCTCTCACTAACCCCTTAACGGTATAATCCTCTTATTTTTGTCAGTGCTAACTAAAAATGGTATCACGGGTTGCAAATAATCATACAGCTATTCTGATTACATCAGTTTCTCTTTCATTAATTTTAACTTCAGTTGTAACACAGAAAGATGATGATTTTGGTCCCCTCTGGAGAGGCAGTTTCAAGGAAGCGCTGTTGCACTGTGGACGCGAATGCTGCTCCTCGAGGTGTTCAATGCAGCAGCCCCTGAGCTAGCATTAGTTAAGAGACATTCATGCCTTTAAGTTTTATAAATAATCTGATCTCTCCTCACATCTATTTAAACCTTGTCTTCTTTCTCTTTATTCTTTTCTCATTTTCTGATTGATTTTTCCATCGTTTGCTTGTTTTCATTCATCATACTATCATCCCTTTCCACTCTATCAATATATTCCAAGTTAAAGGAAAAAATAATTACATATATTGATGAATGCAGATGTACATTATTATTCCCAAATTTCACCTTTGGGATTATCTACTTTGCCTACTGACCTCCCTAGAAAGTGGTGGTTGACGACAAGTTGTACTGTAGGCTATCATTTTAGTATTTGGAGCTTTAGAAAAGGTTCCAATAAGGGCATTGAATACTGGTGTTTTCCAAGTTGCACCTCTGCTTTGATCCTCTTCTAGGTTAGCTAAAGAACAAAATCCTTAATGTCCTTTCTGACTCATCCTGAAACTTAAGTCCATCAGTCTTTTGTTCAATATGTATAGGATAAATAAAAGGAAAGGTATAATTTAGATAATCTATGAGCAAACTGATTATCTCATGGAAGATTAAGATAAACCTCTAAAATTGCTATCTAAACTAAATATAACATTTAGAAGACAAACATTTAAAATTACTGGTTCAATAATTAGTGTACATGACTGGTTTGCAAAATAGATTCAGTCATAAAACGAAGAAATTAGACCTTTGCTTACCTGTATTAAGACATTATCTATTGCTGTCTGCACCTCTAAGACAAGGCTGTAACTGGCATCATCTTTATTTAATGTAAACTTGTCATTTATGCTAAACGAAGGGACAGCTGATTTTGCTTTGCTTGACTGAGAAGACTGCTGATATTTCTCTCTTTCCTGTAGTACCTTATACTGCAGGTGTTCCAGCTCACTCCTAGAGGAAAATGTGTACAACTTCGTCACCTATAAGTATACAACTTCGTCACCTATAAGTATAAACACTTGAGGTCCTTAGAATGTTTATAACAATTTGAGACACTTAACTTCTGCAACATGGACTTTTATTAATTGAACTAGAACTATAAAACTAACAGGAACCAACTTTTTGCTTCTATAACTGACCACGATTCTACATTATTTATCTCTGATCTAAACATTAAAACATCCACTCAGTCCCACAGCAGCAATATTATTGTAATAAAAAGTTGTAAGTATCACAGCAGGTTGCAAATAATCAATTCTAACACACAGGTCTGGTCACAGGCACATGCAGTACTAGACACAACAGAACCTGATTGTACTGGGGCAGAGGAAGACGTTAGACTTAGTGAGAAAAACGAAATCTGTGAAAGCAGTAAACATGCACCTTTCAGGAAGCGTTAGGGAAGAGAGGCAAGGTAAGAATGAACGTTTGGGGGACCACAAGGATGATCATGAGCCAGGGGTACAGCTGCAGTTCCACCTGGGGTTGGGGAGAATTCTGCGGAGACTGCACTGTGCGGCATCACTGACACTCCTTCCAATTACTGGAGAAGGCCATTTGGAAAAGAAGCAAACAGTTACTGAGGTAGAGCAACCTGAGGCTTAGCTACCCTGCTGTGGGGTGAAAAGTCTGGAGAGGGGCTTGGAAGGGGTTTGTGCAATGAACAAAGGAAAGGACTCATTCGTTCAAGCAATGGTACTGAGTACCTCGAATGTACCTATGTTCCAGGTGCAGAACCAACAAAACAGAAGCTTCTCATGAGCTTACGTCAGGAGGCACAGACTTGGTTATAAACATGAGGTATTGTATTGAGGATGTGAGAGAGTCCTCATTATCTCTACTTGGTATCCTTCTTGTATGCTCATTAGAGCTTGTTCTCCTGGTGGCTTTGGTGAATCGGCTTGTGGAGAACTTGTGGTGTGGCTTTAGTGAACGAGTGCTTGTGGAATTTTGCTGCCTTAAAAACCCTCAACTACCATCAAAAAATTATTGGCCCTCATCCCCTCAAAAAAGTTGACAAGAGGTGAAGTAGGGACAGCAATCATTAAAACTCCCACATCTTCAAAATATGAAGCAATTTTACTTGAGTCCCGTCAAAGGACTTGTCAAACTGAACAGGCCACAAAAGCAATCTGTGTGTGTGTCAGGAAGTCAATGTCACTCACATTCAGTAAAAAAACTTAGAAGCCAAAGTTACACATTCAGAAAGGCCCACAGGAGCAGTGGACATTAGAATTAATGAGGAATTAGTGGGAATTAACACAGATGAGCCATCTGTGTTAGTTTCTTTCTAATGTCTGTGGAAAAAAAACCAAAACACTCCAACTATCTATAACTAAACAAATGCAAAAACATAATTCTTGATCTAAAAATAGTCAACATAGAATAAAGTATACAAAAAGTATATTTCTAACTCTAAAATATTAATCAGCACTTACTGCTAATTTTCTCAAACCAATAAACTTTCATTAAATGTATTAATTCTTTCCAATAAAATATACTGCATATACACGTAATAAACAACCACACACTTCATGAAGTGAAACATAAAAAGGCAAACAAAAAAATCCAAAATTACCGTAAAGAAGAAATTTTATTCTGCATGTCCTGAGTAATTTTTAGTTCCTCTCCTGGTCCACTTTCCTTATGAACAGGCTCTGTTGTCAGACCTGTAACCCAGCCTGTAGAAAGGAGTTCAATTGTACACCATCAGTGCTGCTGCTATTCAAAGAAACCCCAATCTACAAGCCCCTTTGTCCACCATCAGCCTCACTTATTCCTTTTCAAACAACACAATACAAAACACAAAAGAAATCGCGCTGGGAAAGATTCAAACCATAAAGAAATTATTTCAGCTTTCTGTGATACTTTGTTGCTTTGCCTAAAAGACTATAATACTATGATTAAGGAAATCTTTCACTTCTTAATTTACAGTTTTAGTTTTCAAGTATGGAATAAATCAACATCTAGCAAATGCAAAAATAGCTGATGAAAAAGAATTGTTTTTCAACAATTATTTTCAGGGAAAGTTAAAGTCTTATATAACTACTCAAAAACAAACAAGTTTTAACAAGAAATGTATTCAGTAACAAAACATGTTTTGTTTTATTTTTTAGCTGAGCCATCCTGCCACCTGTTGGCATCTCAGCGGCAGCTCAGCTCAGGCCAGGCATTGAACCAGCGACCCTGTTGCTCAGAGCTTGCACTCCTGAGTGAGCTCTTAACCAACTGAGCCACTCAACCGGGCCTCATACATTTGTTTTGTTTTTAAACCAAAGAATATCATTGAACATTTAAAGATACTAGTGACACACCAAGCACTCTTACAAGCTATTATTTAAATATTAACTGTTTTGTAAATCCATCTGCCCACTCCTTCCCTCGTTGTTTTTTTTTTAGCTGAGCCATCCTGCCACCTGTTGGCAGCTCAGCGGCTGCTCAGCTCGGGCCGGGAATTGAACCGGTGTTGCTCAGAGCTCAAACTCTTGAGTGAGCTCTAAACCAACTTAACCACTCAGCTGGCCCAACCAATAAAGCTTTTAATGCTACACATAAGAGTGAGTTAGTAATAATACTTTTTTAAAAAAGTAGTCACCAAAAGCTATTATTTATTAAATTTATATATTTTATATTACCGATTCTTTCTTCAACTACCTCCTACCATTTACCTTACCTGAATATGTAGACACGACGATTTCATCATAGCCATCTTTCCCTACACAACCTCCCTGGACAGATGTGACACTTTCAGACAAGGCCTAAAATAAATTCATGATCAAGCACTTCATTAGTAACTAAAAATGTCACACATGTGTTAAAATAAGCCACAAAATTTATTTTCCTGTCTCCAGACATTCAACATATAATTACTGAATACTTATACGCGCAGACACTGAGATTGGAAAGGCAAAAATCCTGCATAAATGTCAGAAAATTATAGTGTTTTTACATTTGGAGAAAGACTGAAAATGACTCATATATTTGTGTGTACCACTCAGCTACAGTAGTTATCTAATGAGCAAAAATGGTTTATTTATATAATGACGTTTTTAAAAAATGACCTAAGCGAAGCTCTCAAAACGTTTAGTCTATTATCTGAATTCCACAGACCACCTCTTGTGTGTTTTCTCCAAATAGTTTTCTTGATGAATAAAGAAGATAAAACCCTATGTGGAACCTCTGGGAAATTTGCTACTTTGGAGAGAAAACAATTTTTTCAGAAAGTTCACGGTTTACATCTCTTCTAAGCAATACTTCCCAAATTTGTCTGATAATAATCACTTGGGTTTATTTATCAACTAGCAATCAGTATTTTTAACACTCAAGATCAGTGGTTTTCAAGCTATCTGGAAAGCAAGCAGTATATTTTATATTGCAATCTGGTATACATTCATGCATGAACATATACAAAAACATATAAATTAAAGGTTTTATTACACTCTGATATATTCTAATCCATTCTATTTCGTTACCAAAAAAAAAAGTGTTGGCAACCCACTAATGGGTTTGACTAGTAGTTTGAAAAACTCTGCTAGGTAATTCTTATCAGGAAAGACTGAGAAACATTGTTTTAAAGAGAAGGTGGAGGAAATGGATAATAGCATTAAAAATGATTATTCTCTTCATCCTTCTTGTAGGAGGCAAACCTTTGAGCTATTCTGCAAATTAGGCTATCTTAGCCTTTCCAGAAACTAGTTACCTGAGAGATTCAAGTAACAAAGGTTTGATTATAAGTTTGCAAAAAGTTAGTTTTTTTAAAGAACAAACAAAACAAGTGGATCTCACATATGTACACTAGAAGTCTTCAAAACTTTCTGTTCATGTTCCCACTAAAGTTATTCTGAAAAATAACTATGCACCCCCTTGTTCTTTACAAGCTGCCTTTTAGATTTTTCATCACAACTTTAAATAGTTACAAAGAGTATAATTTCTGGAAGTCTTAAAGATTATCATTTTAAAATAAAGCTATCACATTCTTTAGTCATATCCAATGAATTTAAATACGAGGACAAATTTATATACACAATCAATGGCTTAAAAAATGGAGAAACAAATCCTTCTTTAAAAGCTTGGAATTTTACATTGTTCCTTTTTCTCCTTGAACTCTTATTTCCATTCCACTTCCCCCACATATATTTATCTTAATGAAATGTACTCATATGCTTGAAATTTATACTTTTCTGCAACCAAGAAAAAAATAATTGAAACATTTTATCTTCTGTGATCATAAAGGTTTAAGCATTAGGAATTTCTATCATTATAATTAGTATTACACAATTGATGAAGACAAATTTACAAGCTTTAGAAAATAATACAACAGCAAAATTCTATAGGAAATGAATCTTATCAGATGAATGAGATTTTTTTCCTTTCAAATTATTTATGCATCACAAATGAGTATTATTTATATATTGCTACAATAAAACTAGGTTGAACATCAGTTCTGTTCTTATTTTTCATTTTCATAGATAGAGCACTCATCAACCTTAGTCACATAAAGATGTTGCTGAGACTAAAAGAAGTTTTGTTATAGAAAGTTCACTCAATTGTCTAAACATCTTCCAAGTTATATACCTAAAATCACCAACTGATCTACCACCAAAAGCGTTTTTTAGTGGCATTCCATGCGCAACTTGATTAGGTCCCCCTTCAATTTATTGAAAGCAAAGCATTGGAAACCATCTGACTTAGAGAAGGATATCTTACCCAGTCAACAGATTCCCACACTTTCTCACTTCCTGAATGGTTTATCAGGTGACTATTAACTATAATTTTTATTTTTTCACTCATTTAGAAGTACCTTAATTAACTTGGTGTACTCAAAATTTACAAAAATAAAAAAATAGTTAATTTGTATGTTTTTGCTTATACAACATTTTTGAAATTCATTTATCTTAATGTACTTCAAGTACATTTTTGTAAAAGTCTCTCAGAGTTGTAGATTTAGTTAATTCAACTTATATTTTAAAAAAATCATATAACCGTAAAACAGGAGAGCCTAGATAATACAGTATAGATACGGTTTATGTGAATAACAACATGGAATGCCAATTAGGGAACTAAACTCACAAAAATAGACCTTGCTCATTCCTCAAAATATTGACAAATGAATATATATTTATAAGTTTCAGTTAAAATATGATGTTTAAGGTATATATATATATATATATATATATATATATATATATATATACATTCTCTTTCTATGATTTGCTCCTTAACTTTTTTTGACTAACTAACCATCACTCCAGACTGTGTCAGATAAGAGGGCTTGTGATTAGGAGAACAATGAAGTGTGTCATGAATCCAAAATGAGGCAGTGCATTTGCAGCCTTAACAGAACCTGAAAGAGTACCTCTGTCATCAGACAAATAGGAGAAAGGGTGGGAAGACAGGGTTTACTAGTGTCACACCCAGCAAAGGAGAGAAATGCTATGTCACTGCTGGAGTTTGGAACAGGTCAAAGAGAAGACTTAGGGTCTAAATACGAAAGATTCTCAGGGGTTGATGAGAAAAACACAGGAGCTTACCAACCAAAAATTATTATATATTTTAAAGCCTAAACTATTTCTTTCATCATTAGTAAGATGACTTTTTATACCAAAGATGAACAAATATGAAATTTAGAAAATAAGTTGAATAATATTTTTATCCCTATGTTATCTATATATTTTATACACCAAAACATCTGTATTTGCTGATCAGCAGTTCAAGTTGGGACTGGGAGGTATCACTATTAGAGAAATTAGTCAAAAAGGAAAAGTTGATACTGAGTTGTAGCTTTTTTAAAAAAACAAAAACAGCCCCAATGCATGAGGCAGGATGGAGGAACCCTGGACTGGAGAATCCCACATCATGAAAATGGAAGATTCAGATTATACCAGAACGCTTCTCCATGTGACTCTGTACCTTGGGATAAACAAGCTTCATTACATTTAAAATTTGTAAACTAAAAATTACCCTTATCTAGTAATTCTTATACAGTGGACCCTTGGGTGGCTAGAAGTGAAATTGCTACCTTTTGCCTCTTTGCTTAAGGATATTTTTTATGTTGTCCTAACAATATGAAGCTTATTCTTGAAACGTTATTCCTTTAAAAACCAGTCTCATTTGTTACCCAAACATATGCGTATGTTCCTCCTATAATCTAGTACTCATTATAGAAACTAAAACAAAATATTTAATACTTTAGATATACAATATTTAGAATCCAAATGAAAAAGATATTTATTATTCAGCTTGAAGGCAACAGTCTATTATTCAAACACAAGGGTAGTCTAGAGATTTTGATAACACCAAGGCAGCAATATTTTAAGCCAAAACAAGATTTTAATATATAAGAAAACCCACACCATTATACTCATCTCTGTAATTATTTGATGGGTAATAAGCATATGTAGTCTTTTTAAAAATGAACTTACCTGATCAAATCGTAAGACAGGCTCATTTGCGTTATCAAAGCTATAAACTTCCACCATTCCGTCATCTCTCCCAACAAGTAAATCTTTAACCCCATCACCCACAATGTCAAAGCTGTCGACACACAAAATACCTTTAAAAAAATAATGTAAGTGATGCTGTTAATAAAGCTAATATAGTCAAGTATATACCAAGTAAGCATGAAAATACGTGTATACCCAATCAAAATGGTGGAAAAACAACAACAAAAACTTTGAGCATAATCAGGTGTCCTTTTCTTTTCCATCCACATCTATCCATTTCCTGGGCTTTAAATATGCTCTACATGGCAATGGCCCCTAAGTTTCCAGCACCAGCGCGGATCCCGCCCCAGAGCTCCAGACTCACCTATCAAAGTCCCGATTCAGCAACTTCTTTGAGACATCGTTTGCATCTCAAATTTTCCATGCCCCAAACAAAACTCTTTATTCCCCTCTTCATCACACCCCAACAATAACTCTCCTTCCCCAGACTCCCCTCATCTCAGCATGATACCACCCAGTTTCTAGGCCAAAAATCTAGACTGCATCTCTGATTCCTCTCTTTTTTCGCACTTCCCACATCAAACCCATTAGCAAATTCTATCAGCTCTACCTCCAAAATATATACTCCTTTCCATTCCCAACTACCATTAGTCTGGTCCAAGCTACTGGTATATGCAGCCTAGACCAGGATACATTATATCTACAACAAAAACTTCTTAACTGACCTCCATGCTTCCAATTTTGATCCTCTTCCTCCAAAATCCATTCTCCGTAAACTTTTGCTTTGGTAAATTAGATCATGTCATACTCCCACTGACAACTCTCCAATGACTTCCCAGTGCACTTAGATTAACATGCAAACCCTTCTCCAAGGCACACAAAGACCTACACGATTTGGCCCTACCCTGCCTCTCTGACTTCAACTCTGTGCTAATGCATTTAGCCACATTGGTTTTCCTACTGCTCCTCAAATGAATCATGTTTACCTCTGCCTCAGGTCCTTTGTCTTTAGTTTTTCCTCTTTCTGGAACATTCTTTTCCCCCAAATCTTTACATTTCCAACTTCTTTTCTTCTCAATCAGATCTGAGCTCAAATTTCACCTCTTATAAAACACGTTCCATGACTACCCAGCCTAAAAGTAGGCCTCCTCTTTCTATCCATCACTCTAACACACGACCCTGTTATATCTTCTTCAGGTGACGAGTTGAAGCTCTCTAATTTATTTATTGGTTTATCCTCTGTCCTAATAAGTATTTGTTGAAGGAATAAATACATGAATAAACATGCTATAGTTATAGCCATCTCACTACCTACCAAGTCATATATAAATTCCCCTTAGAAAGTATAAATTCCTTAGAACACATGGATATTCCTTGACCCATTGCACTTCTTCCTTGCCTCATACCAAGTACTCCCCAATTCCAATTAATTCTCCACACCAAACAATGAAAAACGGATTTGAGCATAAAATGATGTTATAGGTGGACATTAGCCCACAAGAGCCTATCCAATCCCAAATTACTATTAGCATGTCTTACTTAAAAAAATTATGCCAAAAATATGATAGACCTGCAAAGTAAACAAATAGTGAATATATCTGAGGTGGCTCTGTGAATTGCTAAGTCTGCTATATACATAGTCTTTATAAATAAAACAGAATGAACTATACAATCTAGGATATTTTATTTAATAATCACCAAAATTTAAGAATCTGAACTACATCAAACACATACCTCCCCTCTTTTTCTTATTTTGAATTCCCCACTTGTGTATTGGCTTAGATGGAGTGATCTGAATAAGCCCAAGTTTTCCATCCGATGTCCCAAACCAAAGGTCTTCTCCAGAGTCACCTAGTTACAATTAAAGTCAAGATATTATATTTATCCCACAACTCATCTCGTTAAGATTAAAATTTTTCATATATATTGACATTCATGTAAAAATCTCATTTAACAATATAAAAAGATAGAAAACTTAACTTGGGAGGATGGTTATATATTCACAGAATTTTATAACGGTAAGAGATAAAACCCTTCCTTATCATTTAACTTTAAGATGAGAAAACTGAAAATTAAAATTGAGTAATTCATGACTGTTCGTTACTGGCAAGTTATCAGACATCCACCATTTCAATTCCAAGTCATGTTCTTTCTACAATTTCCCATTTTCACTTAAACTATAGTTAAATGATTAAAAACCTGAAATGTCTAGACTTAACATAACGCACTCCTTTATTTGATTGTGAGAAATGAAACCCTGATTACCGCCATTTCCATTGTGCAGACTTAAAACAGTTGGCGGGCCAGGAACTTCAACTTCATATACCACGTCGGATCCCTGAAGGAGAACAAGTACTTTAGAACTGAAACAGAATACAAAGTTAAAATGATACAGGCACTCAGAGATAACATCAATATATAAAGAACTCTAGGATAGAACTGCTGAAAAAATTAGGTCAGAAATATTAATTTGCACTTGTTAGCAATTATGCCTGTGTTAACTCATTTCAAAATAAAGGTAATGCATACATAAACTGTAAAGATCAATAAGAGAAACATTTAAAATATTCTCCACTTTCAATACTTTTTTGTTTTAAATACTCTATTTGCCTGAAACCTTGACACCGGTAAATTCTCACACTTTCCAGAAACGTGTTTTTTTTTTCTGTCCTAACTCAAGGGCTTTAACACAGAGCACATTCAAACACTTAAACAGACCCAAAGTTACTTCCTAAGGAAAGTTCTGGCCTTGCCTTTGGGTATTTCCAAAACTCACTCCAGTGAGAGGCAGAATGGCTTGCTATTTAGATAAGAAAAACAAGTTAGGTCCTTTTATCTGTATTTTTTTTCAATTTTGCCACTTGTATCTGTGACTCTGTGAAGAATGAGGCAGAAGTACTTATACTCACATGGAAAAGACATCTATGATAAATCACTCCGTGAAAAAACTTGCAAAATTATAGTAAAACATTTAAATATATGTAGAACATATAAAAGAGGCATATGCTTTGTCTTTTATTTAAAATAACATTTAAAAATGTACAGATATCTACATATACCTATATACTCGTAAACACAAAAGACTATACACAAGACTGTCTCAAAAAGGCTACCTCTAGGGCAAGATTGCCTAGAAAGGCAGATAGGGAGCAGGAGACGTGTGTAGGGCAGAGGAAAGGCTAATTTCTAGCTTTCCATCAATCCTTAGTGATTTTCTTTTTTTTGTTGTTGTTACAATAAGTATAGGCATCTCTTCATGTTAAACAAAGCAGAATCTAACTGAATGCTAGCCAGCTCCTGTTAAAAGCCTTATTCAAACAACTCATATTTGGGAGTACAGGTGAGGGGGGAATTAATCATTCATGCTTCTAGAATGAACCTTGAACCTTTAATTTCCCTTAGGGAAACAAAAGAAAAACTTCATAGAACCACTGGACTTTCCCTTTTATAAAAGGGCTGATGCCAAGAAATGGCCATACGGCAATGAAATTCCAAAGAGATAGCCTGTGGTGGCACAGGATAAACAGCTAGACTTTTGTACAGCTGCACTATCATCAGTCTAAGTTTCTGAACCAATGAATCCGCCTGCTTTATGTTACTTGCACTTAAACCTTATTTGATGGATCCTGGTATGTGTGTGTATTTTATTGAAAGTCAGTTTCAAGAAGACATAGTTATAACTATTATTACTAATAACAATGGCCTTAAGCAGTTGTTTTAGCCAATTATGGTTTTTAGTTTTTCAAGCTATCACTCATTTACTTACCTAACAAATATTTACTAGGTGCTTATTCTGTTCCACATACTGTCATAAACAGTGGATAAATTCAAATGATACAACCCTGATCTCAACTATCCCTTGTTAAAGCCTAACAACCTCTCCCAAACCCAATTTCCTCCTTTAGTTTGATTTTTTAGGAGATGGGAAGGTGATGGAGGAAGAAAGCAAAAAAGAAGAAGAAAACCTGGTCTCAATTCTGATTGTATTAGCTCAAAAATTATGTGTGTGTGTGTGGAGGGGGATGGGGGGGTAGTGGTGGTGGTGAATTATCCTTTCATCCATATATGTCTCTTTAAAATCTTGTCAAAGATCTGAACACATTTACCTCAAGTAAAAAAACTCAACTATCAATTAAAATATTTAAATTTTTTTCCAATTAAGTAGGACATTTAAAGTGGTAGAAATCAATACAGTAATTTATCTCAAGTACACATTGTTTATCAACATTCATTTACCTAAATTATGAAAAATTACAAAAATGCAAATAACAGCAACCTGTAAAACTCTGAGAACTCTGTCCTGGCAGGCCAATACCGGTGTAATACGAGGTAATCTTTCCACTGGAAGGCAGATGACATCATTGATTTTGTCCCCAGAAAGGTAATAATGCTGGTCTTTGCAATCACAATAATGGTTATAGATGTAACTTGCACTGAGAAAGAGGTCTGAGCCAGATATGTGCCTGAGAACATTGAAAGGACTTTAAGATATGCATATTTTTAAAAATAAGCATAGAAAACTCCTGATTTTTTTCAGCTAAAAATAAAAGTTTATACAGTTTACGATCATTTTATCACAGACTTGGAGAACACAGTTTTGGGTTTTTGTTTTGTTTTAATTCCCCCTCCATTTAATTTCTAGCTTTTTGGTATAACTCTGATTTTGAAAGCTGAAAATGAGGATCTTAAGGCTTCAGGCTCCTCAAAAACGGAAGTTAGAAAAACTGAAAACAAAGACTATGATAATTTAATTATCTGTACGGAAGACAAATAATACGTCAAAAAGCAACCGTTTTTGAATGTGCCAAGCACTATCTAGAGTTAGTTTTCTCACTACCACACTATATTGCTTAGAAGGCTATTTGAAGCGAATCTACTTTAAACTACATGATAAACAGTGGGGGAAAAAATGACTGTTAGAATTTTATTTTGAATAAAGAAATGAAAACAGGTTCATTTCAAATCATATTTAACAAAATTTAATATAATAGTCACAACTATGTTGTAATTCTTAAGATTGAATCGAGTTTTCACTGGGGAGCTGAAATTTTTTGAGCAAAATGTTATCTTTCATGTCTAGATTGCTATTAATGTGATCATAAAGAGGATACTGTGGTTTTATTGGAAGGTTTTACCTATTTCTCCACCTCTAAGGTATATTTAAAATTTGGGGATACTAAAATTATTCCTTATTCTACAATGATCTCACTGATTTTCTCATCTTGTTATTGTTTAGTTGGCCTCACTTTGTGGCTCTGCATATAATTTCAGTAGTGCTCTTAATATCATTTCTATCAATCCAATGAAATTCCATATCTTTTTCACGGTTTCACATTTCAGAAAGCCATTAAAGGGAGCTTCGAGTCTTACCTGACTCACCTGAAATTATACCCTATTGGTAGTCACCAACTTTGACTGCCAGCCTTTTAAGGAAATGATACTACCTTAAAACCAGAACTACTAGAGATAGCAAAGAAACAGAAACTTAAATATCTGGAGATTTCTTCCTTTTTTTCCTTTTATACCTTGATCTTAAATCATAACTGAACCAATGAGTCAAAAATATATAAATATCATCTTAAAACTTTATACTAATTCTAGGTCGAATTTAATTTCTGACTAATTAAGTACCTTTAGTCAATTTCCCAGAAACCTATCAAGATATGATACTTAATCAAATGTTTGTCACCTCTCCAAAATACTGTAAATGGGTAAGTAAAAATAAAAGAGAATAACGTACATAGCTTTAATGCTTTCAGTGAGGTTTGTTTCAAAAGAGAGGAACTGTTTCCCTCTCTTTGTGAATCCTCTAATCTCAGATCCTGCAGCAATAAAAATTTTCTCCTGTGGTGTGTTAAGAACCCCTCCTAGTTCCAGTCTTGCAATCTTCTGCTCAGGTAAAGTCTTGAACACTGTCTGCAAAAATCATTGAGGAAAAAATTAAGTACACAGATTTATTGTAAGCATTTTCATTTATTGTAAAAATGCTGTGATTTTTTTTTAAATTGGGGAACAGTGTGTTTTTCCAGGACCCATCAGCTCCAAGGGAAGTAGTTGTTTCAATCTGGTTGTGGAGGGCATCGGGATCGAACTGGCAACCTTGGTGTTATGAGCACTGCACTCTAACCAACTGAGCTAACAAATGCCGTAATTTTTAAACTTAGAAAAATATTATAGTTCTACTATATAGAAATATCTTTAGATACACATGGATTTACTTCAGTGGGTCTTCTGAGTTCTTTTGCTAAATATATTCTAACTTTAGAATACTTATTCCCATACATATTTCAGTGACATCACTAAAATCTAAACTCTTGCAACTCAAAGTAGGGTTCACTAAGCACTCGCTAGTGAACTACATCACTAACTTTCTTAAAAATGAAGAATCTCAGGCCCAATCCCAGATCTACAGAATGAAACACTGCATTTTAATAAGATTCCCAGCTGGTTCCAATGGACAGGTTTTTACACTTTAATCATCTTTTAAAAATAATGTCTCCAGGTTTCTTTGCAATTTTTATAAGTTTTAGTGGTATACATAAAGGCCTATAGAATTTTCTGGAAACCTGAATATTTAACTTAATATTTCTCTATTTAATGGGAAACATTTGTATCATCAATTTCTTTCTGGTTATTTTCCATTTCATTACTGGCATCAGAGAGCAAAATATCTAAGAGGACATGTGAATAATGCAAACATTGAGTTTCTGATAATTTTCACCATCTTCATCGTTTTGTAAATTCCATATAAAGTATAATAAATAGAAGAGTTCACATTTCATACCCATCACATGTAAACTATGGTCTGTGACTATGGTGATATACAAATCACTTCCCTGATAGGTTACAGTAAGTGGCAAAGGTGACGGCTAGTGACTTCCATGATGTGATGTGATTGTGATGTGATGTGGTGATGTGATTGTGGTGATGTGGTGATGTGATGTGATGTGATGTGATGTGATGTAAGACTCCATTCTTGGCAGGCTGGACAGATTTGCCTGCTGGTCTGAAGAAACAGGTCACCATGTTGTGAGTGGGCCTGTGCGAGGACTATGTAGCAGGGAATTGTGGGGGCCTCAAGAGGCTGACAGCAGGTCCTGGCTTACAGACAGCAATAAAGTGGGGGCTTTAGTCCAACAATAGAGAACTGGATTCTGCTGACAACCGTATCAGCATGGAACAGGACTCCGAGCTCCTGAAAGGGCAGAGCCTGGCTGGCATTTACACTGCAGCCATGACCCACAGAAACTGTGCGATGATAAATGTGTGCTGCTTTAAGCCCCTACATTGGAGGTACTTTGTTTTACATAGGAAACAAACTGGTTGCATAGGAAACCAATAAGCCACCCAAGGCTGTCAAAGGTGTTTTACAAATAACTGGCAAATAACTCTTGTGCTGTCGCCTCATACTTCATAGCACTGCTTCCCTCACAACCCATTTTTCATTGTATTTCAGAAAAATTTTAACCTAGGATTATTTAATAAGTAGTGTTTTTCTTTTAGAAAACTTTTTTCCTCCTAAAACTAAAACCCATACATACCACTGCTTCTCCTTTCTTCATGCCAAAGCACGTAACTACACCATCATAATCTCCAATAACTACCTGTAATAGATTGAAGAGAATCAAAAATTACTATTATGCCCTATTAACTATATATGAAGAAAACAAGATTCTCAATATAAAAATTATGATTTTTAAAAACAGAGATTAGAAAATCTAGAAAAGACACCCTTACAAAAAAATTATCTGCCAAAGAATTATAGAAAAGGGTCAAAGAGAAGGTCATGGAGAGTCACTACGGAAGTAGTTGGCCACATATGCTGTTCTTACAATGTAAATAGAACAGAGAATAGGGACAGAAATGCCAGGGGGGTGGGGGTGTAATTTTTTTTTCTTAACTGGAGCATAAGAACATTTTAAGATTCATTTTTTTTTTAATTGGGGAATTGGGGAGGGGAACCAGTCAAATTGTTGTTCTTCAATCTTAGTTGTGGAGGGCGCCAGTCGCCATCTGGCTTCCCATCGGCAGCTCGTGGCCTCTAAGCTCAAGGTGCTGTATTCAATCTTAGTTGCGGGTGAGCGTAGCCACCATCCCATGCGGGAGTCGAACCAGCAGCCTTGTTGTTAAGAGCGCACGCTCTATCCACTGAGCCATCCAGGTGGCAGCTCAGCTCAAGGTGCCGAGTTCAGTCTTAGTTGCGGGTGAGCATAGCCCACCATGGAACAGGCAATCTTGTTGCTACACCAGCTGAGCCATCCTGCCACCAGCTAGCAGTTCAGCGACAGCTCAGCTCAGGTGCAGTGTCACTGGCCCATGTGGGAATCGAACCGGTGGCCCTGCTTCCCAGAGCTCATGCTCTTAAGCCAACTCTTAACCAAATGAGCCACTCAGCTGGTCCATTAAGATTAATTTTTAAAAGAGATTATCAAATAAGGTTGTGACTGACTTATTTGATATTTTTAAACATTTTTAATGGAAAAATTTTAGCATATGCAAAAGTAGACAGAAAATTATAATAAATTCCCATGTATCCATCACCCAGTTTCAGCATTATCAATTATCCAATGTGGCCAATGGATTATTCTGAATAAATATAAAGATTTTAACACTTCTTTTTCAGAAACTGATAATCAAGAAGACAAAAGATAAAAAATAGAAAAACAATTACCTTTGATCTAATATATATGCACATTATGTATATATGTGTGTGTGTGTATAAATAAATAAAGCCCCCCATCCCAACAATCAAGCACAAAGAAACATTAGAAAATTGGCCAAGTATTAGGATATAAAACAAGTCTCAAATATCAAAAAGTTGATATTATGTAGACTCTGTTTTTAGGCCATTGATTTTTAACTTTCTGTGGAAGCTTTGTGTATTTGATGAAACTTGTGGACTTTCTCCCCAGAACAGTGAACATTCACAAATAATTATGTTCATATTTTAAGGAGATTTATGGGTCTTTGGTACAGGCAGAGATTTCTTTTCAGACGGAAAAATACATAAGAATAGTTAAGGTTTTGATTTTCTGATGATACACTAACCCAATAATTTATAAAACAATAACACATTACAGGTGTTTCTAAAGTGTGGGTCCTAGACTCCTGGAATTCAGTGAGAACCTTTTAGCGAATCTGTCTGGTCAACACTATTTTCTAAATCTTTATTTTCCTTTTTCACTAGGTTGATATTTGCAATGATGGTACAGAAGTAATGGTGGGTAAAATAGGGTGTTTGACAAGAAACTAAACATCACCACCAAACTATACCAGTAATCTGTAATCTTCATCACCTATTTGAGAATAAAGAAAAAAAATCCAATTTTATTTAAGAATGTCTTTAATGAAGCAATAAAAATTATTAATCTTATTAAATCTTGACCCTTGAATACATGTCTTTTTAATATTTAGTGTGAGAAAAGAGGAAACACGCATTAAACACTTCTGCTGCATACCAAAACAGTCTCGATGAAAAGTACTTGTATAAATGTTTGAGTTATGAACTGAACCATCCACTTTTTCAAGAAATACCATTTTTAAGAACGAAGGAACAACCAACAACTGTTGTTATTAACACATGGGTATTTCCTGAGCTTTTTTTAAAAATTGAAGGAGGTGAGTTTGTTATTTCAAAGGGAAACATCTGACAGTGTTTGCTACCGATGGTCAAATTAGAGCTTTCAAGTGCAAGTCAGGACTTTGGAAAGTCTTGTATCTGGCCACTGGGAGACTGACAGCTTCTCCATACTTAATTTTTCTGATGAGACCAGTAGTGATACTAAAAAATATGAAATGTTTGATATTCTATAATAAAATGTGTCAACATTTGGAAGATATGTATAATTCAGATGAACCAATAATCTCAAATGACCACCACAGGATGCTATAAATTCATGCATGGGTAAAAGATCCATTTCAAGTACAAGACAGACCAATGGATTTTAATGTATCAAAGTATGAAAAGTTAATCAATATGGTTTCAGATTCCACATTACACCTAATGTTTAAGATACTACTACTTGTCTAGTGTAGGTATAGTATCAAATATGAAGAGCCATAATTATCTGGAAAAGCTATTTAAATACACCTCCCTATTTTCAACTATGTATCTGTGTAAGCTAGATTTTCTTCATATGCTTCAACCAAAACAACACATCAGAGCACACTGACATGAAAACAGACATGAGAATCCAGGTACCTTTGTTTACGCCAGGCTAAAGAAAATGCAACACCGTGTTGCTATTCTCATTAAATTCTTTTGTTTTTGAAAATATTTTCATAAAAATGTTATGTATGTAAACATGTAGTAGGTCTATTATTTTTAAAAAGTGGAAGAGTAAATAAAACATGTCTTAGTTTGAATTTTAATACAGTAAGTATTGATAGATATATCTACATAAACAAAAATTCTTTGGGACCCTCAATAATTTAAGAGTGTGCAGGATCCTGAGATATGCTGATCTATTGGGCTGTCGGAAAAGTCATGACGTATTTTTTCTATGTTTTTCGTTGCAAAAATGCGTCATGACTTTTCTGACAACCCAATAGTAGACTAAATAAATGACAATCAGAAATCTATTGATTTAGCTTGAAAAAATGTTAATATATCAGGATACTGTATTTATTTTGCAGCTATAAAATATCCTACTAGTCTATTACAAAATTATAATTGTCATGTCTCATAGGATCAGTATTTCTATAAAAATACTCAAGTCAATATTGCTAAATATAAAGTTCAACATCAAAATACTTAATTACTCTTAAAATATGATAATGTCTCAAAAAAACAATTTCTCTATATTCAATTGTGTCTTACATTTGATCTTTCATATACACAATCTGGTGCATACAAGTACACACGGAGTAAATTATTTCCAGAAAAATGGAATATGGTTTTAACAAGTTATTTTATACTATTTACTAACTGGACATAATAATTATAATGTCCAAGAAAATTACTGTTTGTAAATGTCCCTTGGGATGCCAACCTCTGTTCAAATGAAAGACATTAATTTCCATGTTAACATTAGCATTTTAAAAAGAATAACTTCTCAAAAAAGAAGGAAATGTACACTTCTTCTCTGTCACCGCTAAGAAGACGTGGAGGAATCAGTATCTGCACAGTACCTTTTGTGTAGCTCTGTGTCTTGAGGCAGGAAGTAACTTCATGGTCTTCTGAGAGGTCACTCCCACCTAGGAAACACACCAGCCACTTATTAAATGTTTTCTCATACTCTGTAATCTGAGTTTTACATCAGAGATGTAAGGGACCAGCAGATTCAGATGATAGTCCCTTTTTTATTGCAGAAATTAGTGATATGAAGTAATTATTATCAGCGATGAACTTATTATCTAATGAAATAGGCCACGAAAGTGAGGATACAGGAAACAACCAAAAACAGTAAAATGTATGCTTGTCAAAATTTATGTTGTCAAGCCAAAAAAAAAATAATAATAAGTGACATTACCGGCAGGATACATCACAAAAAATATTTCTAGAAGCCTTCTGTTACAACTTCATATAGTTGTTAGTTTTTGTAGAGTGATTTAAAATCTTTGGAAATAGAGAAATTATTTTAAACGCAACCAAGAAAAAAAATTTTTTTTGCTCACATGGCAAACATGCTGATGGCCATGACAGCCAATAAAACCGATGAGGAGGATTATTTTACAAAAGGTACAGAAGAGGGAAACAGCACGGATCTTTCAGACGGGAACTGTGGCCGGCAGTACACGGCAGGTGGAGGAGGAAGACCGGACAGAAGTTGCAGAAAGCAACAGCTCGGGAAAGAATGTACAGGTCGTGCATGTCTACGATGTTATGCTGTCACCCAGGGAGGAGGGTTAAAGCTTAAAATAATTGATTTGGATTTGGATTCTGAAACCTCCATCCGGCAAGTGATGTGAAGGGAGGAGGTGACGCTGGAGCTCGGAGCCCGGGTGGGAGGCTATTTCCATCCACCAAGCAAGAGAAGGCGAGAGCCTGAACTGGGGGTCACGGAGCTGGAGGAAATGGGGGGAGGGTGGGGTGGAGTCAAGAAAAATTCAAGAGGCAACCGCCGAGGTGTGGCGGCCAGTGCTGACCTAGCACGACTCCCCGGGATATGGGCCGGGCACACGTTTGTACCATTAGCCCAAACGGGGTGACTGGGAAACGAGATGGAGGGGAGGAAGTCTGGGGCCTGCACCCCGCGGGGCCGGGGGTGGCACAAAGCTCCGCAGCCCGGGCTTCGCGTCACAGGGCAGCTCCAGCCTTTCTCGCTAAGACCGAATCCTCTCAGGCAGCGGGTCTCACCCCGCACGGCGACCGTGGACCTGTCCCTCGGGTTTACCTGTAAATAATCCGCTCGGTTTAAATTCAGATCCATGACGGCGGCACGGACGCCCTGGGCGGCGCCGGGCCGGGGCAGGGCGGGCAGGGGCGGCCGGACGCCAGGCCTCTGAGGGGAAACTGCCCAAGTCCCCGCACACAGGCGACCCCAGCTCCAGGTACCACAGCGGAGACGCAAAGGCCGGGAGTCAAGGCAGCAGCTTCGAGTGACGTCAATACGTTCACGCGAGTGGGCGGTGGACGAAACTGAAGCCCCGCCCCTCCCCCGACGGGCCGCCCACTGGCGTAACCTGCTCCAATCAGAGGCGGAGAGGGACTGAGGACAAGGACCAGGTGATTCCGGAGGGTTGTTTCCAGGGAGACCGGGGACGCAGTCTTGGCTCCACCCCTACCGCCGCCCAAAGCCGCACCTCTGTCTTTTTTGGATGTAGGAGCTATGAAGCCCGGGTAGATTCGGATCTATTTGTCTGAGATTGGAAAGGGTCCCTCAAAGAATTAGGTTCCACCGTTATAGGCGTTAGCCTACAAGCAGCATTTCTCAATATTTTGTCCTCAGGACCCCTTTACAAAACTCCTACAAACTATTGAGGACACCAAAGAACTTATGTTTATATGAATTATTTGTTGACATTTACCATATAAGAAATTAGAACTGAAAAACTTAAAAATATATTAAAAAACAAGCTCATTACGTATTTTAATGACAATAACTTTTCTAAAATAAAAAAGTAAAAAGACTAGCATTGTTTGCAAACCTATTTACTGTCCATCAGAATAGCGAACAGGGGCGTCCCAGATTTACTTCTGCATTCAATATATTGGTGTATGTGTGGGTTATTTTTAAGTATATGAAGGAATCTTGGTCCAAACTCAAGTGGTAGTTTGAAAAGTTAGTTGCAATGTGGAATGCGACTTCATTATACAGCATCCAAAAAAATCTCATTTGTTAACATCACCACACATTTCGTCAGAAAAGATTTGTACTATTGGAAGAAAGCTGTCAAACTCAGACGGTGGGTACAAATTTTGCGAAAGTATAATTTATGCATAAAGGCTCAAATTTTAACCACTGATGTCAATTATTTTCCTTGAAATGATAGGTTCCCTGCTTGATTTCACAAGGAAGTGCATGATATATATTCAAGTCTAAGTAATCATAATTTTTCAGTTGTGCTTTCAAAAAACAAATGGTTCCACGAGAAAAGCAACAAGTTGGGCTAGCAACTCAAATAACAATCACACAAATGCTCTTCCTTGAGATGGCATTGTGTAGAAATCTGTGCGTTGGCATTTAGTAGAAATGCTTTATGCATGCTTCTCATTTCATCACACAGAATATTTAAAAAGATATGCACTCAAGAGTGAAGGCTTAAAATTAACAATTTTTACCGCTTTATAATGAACATTTTTATATGAAACTTTGTTTCCTGCCCACATGTGCATGAAGAATACAGCGACTACTGCAGTTTGAAGCCACTGCCTTGATTCGTGCTTAAGAACCAGCAGTATTAACCATGCCTTTTGTACCATCAGTGCAGATGTCAACGCAGTGAAAACCACAAATGTCTTAGTGTTATGAAAATAGTTTCAAAATCACAGGCCCCCTGAAAAGGCCTCAGGGACCCTCAGACTATTGCTGGCCTGTGGTGACTCAGGCTCTGACCAAGAGCTGACAGTCCTTGACTCCTGTCATCGGTCCTTAGTGGACACTGTTCTGCCCCCAGAAATACTACAGATGAGTAAGATACGGTCTCTTTCCTGATTTCTGTGGTCCACTAGGGGGGAGTTCACAAATGATTGTCAATTAAAAATTAAACCCCTGAGAAGAGGTGCTTCTTAGAAAGAGGAACTATTTCCTACAGAGGGATCTGAGGTTTTGCCTAGATCCCAGGGTGTTCCAGACAGTTCATTGTCTGAGGCTAAAATAATTATATTAAAATAGACAATAACGCCTTGAGACAGGTTAGCTGTGTAACAATTTGAGGAAAATATACATTAATTTAGACTCAATAAAAATACAGATACACTTTTAGAAGTTGAAAAATAGCCACAGAGGAGACAGAGTAAAATTGAATTGTATAGAACATTATAGAATTTAGGGGGTTGGAAGGTGTATTAGATAGACAGGGCCACCATAATAAAGTACCACAAGCTGGGTGGTTTAAACAAAAGACATTTATTTTCTTACAGAACATTTATTTTCTCCCAGGCTTGGAGTACCAATCAAGGTGTCAGCAGGGAAGCAAACCAATCTTCTGAGGCATCTCTCCTTGGACATCTTCAACCTGTGTCTTCACATGGTCTCCCCTCTGTGTCTGTGTATTAATCTCTTCTGATAAGGACATTTGTCACAGAGGAGTAAGCCTCGCCCTAATCTCATTTTAATTTCATTATCTCTTTAAAAGCCCTATTTCCAAATATAGTCATATGCTGAGGCACTGGGAGTTACGGCTTCAACATACAAATTTAGGGGGCAACATAATTTAGCCCATAACAGAGAGGAACTTTTCTGATCTGTGTTGAGAGCTCTACAGTTGTGGGAGGCATGGACTTAAAAAAAAATTGCTGTGAGCTTAATCTTCATTCAAGACTTGAAGAATCCTAGTCTGAATGTTCCCAGCTGAATGTGACACTTTTCCATTCAACATTTTCCCAACCCCCAATTAGGATCATCACTAAATATTCCATTCCACAGCTATAAACAAAAATGTCCACACTTGGAATTCTAGAAAGTACTGTAAGACTGGAAGTACTGTCTATTGTGGAAACTCCATATCTTTAGTATTTTAATATAGTAGAGTAACATAACAATGAAAAAAACTCAATATTTTATTCATTTCTGAGGCATAACATAAAATACATAAAGTTTGAAAACTGTTTAAGACAAAGAACTACTAGAATAGCACAAAAGTTAATGAAATAGTCTACGGTGGTAGCAAAAATGTATAAAGGTATTTTTTAAACTTCTGTTTTAAGTCCCAAAATGTAGAAATTAAGACATCATCTTTAAAGAGCTTTACGTAGTTCCATTTAATGTTCATTTTGGTCTTCATGTGTGAGAGTAATGACTTTTAAAGTACCATGTATTTGATTGGTGTTTAGGACCTATAAAACTATCCTTGAGGTGTGATCACAATTTGTATTCCTGTAAGACTAGACAGGAACAGACTGAAGGGAATCAGGACGTTAAACATAACTCTATGAGATATTTGAACCTCCCTGGTTAAAAAACAATACTTTTGAGTGTCTTACGGTCTGTGAAGAGACGAGGGCACTCACTGGCCTGTATCCCCTTTCCTATTCAAGTCATGAGGCGTTGTGGATATTACTAGACTCAGCTCAGATCTATAATAAGTCAAATACAGACACACCACAAGTAGAAAGTATAACTGAAATGCTCTGGTAAGAAAACAGATGTCCATTATTGTAAGCAAGAGAGGCCCCAGAGGGAAATGGAACACACCTGGTGATACCTGGACATGGCTTTCCAGGCACACAGCCACTTCTCTTCCCTATTTATGCCCATAAGCATATTCTCCAAAACTCAGAAAGGAGCGAATGGGCGAGACAGGAAGTCAGTTGTTGATACCTTACTTAGCATTAAAGCATCAGAAGTAGAGATTAGGAGGTTAAAACAAAATAACAGTGCTACATAACTCCCAGCCTTAAAAAAATTCACCACCCCGATGACTAAATTCACATGACTGAAAAACAATGAATGAAAATCTAAGACAGAAAGCAAACAAGATATACTTTAGAAAAATCTTTAATGTGTTGTTTTGAACAATTCTATGAAACTTAAATATATAATGTAATCATATTTTCTATTAACCCATTTCTTTGTAACCTTCTTCCTTTGGGGCTCAAAAATTCTAGGATTATCAGTGATGCCAAAAATCCTAAGAAAATCTGACAAAGTCATAGCTGTTTGTGAAATGTTTTCAGCTTCTATTTAAAAAAAAAAATCCCTTTAGCACTTAGACAGGAGAAGGTGTGCAACCTAGTGATGGCCTTTTTATTTGTTTTTGTATTTTGTTGGCAGTTCAGTTGGTTTCAACATTTACTGAGCACCTACTATGGACCAGGCACTGTACTAGATGCTGGAGACACAAAGATAAATAGGACAATGGTGCCTGTCTCCAAGGAGATTGCAGTCTCTTGGAGGCCAACAGGTAGTGCAAAGATGGAGTAGAACTTACTCTAAAATGGACAAAAATGTCAGTAATGTAGTAATATTGGGCCTTTAAATACGATGGCGTGTCATGGTTGGTAATGTCAAGGCAGACAGTTAAAATGAAGACCATTGGCATGTGATAAAACAGGAAAATCATTAAGACCTAACTTTTACGGATTCACATGATAAAGGTAGTTAACACTAAAAATTTACACCATAGTTTTTCAAGTATTTCATACTTAGAAATATTATTGCCCACATTTGTGCTGCAGTCCAAGGCAAGTTCCAGGTGACGGGGTCATTCGCATCTCAGCATGCTGGGGGCCAGCTTCTCGCTGAGCTTATGAATTAGAGCGGCTAGTTCCTCAGTCGCTTGGCCCTTGTCCTCCAAAAGTTCATAGCGAAGGCTGGAGATATCTTGCTTGATTTCTTTTAATTCACCTGTAGTATTTGGATTAAAAATACATACAATTGGTAATTAGCTCTTTGGACTCTGAAAAGAACAAAGAGTAAAATTTATATGCTATGAATAGAATACATTTATCTCATAAAGTCTCCAAGGTACTTATTTTAGATTTTTTTTTCCTTTAAGATGTTTAAGAAATGTCTGCCTTTAAAAATATACCGACCTTTGAAAAAAGGTATAAAAATAGTGCAGCTAAGTTCTTAATAGTAAAACTCAGCCAAAGTTTTTGTCCTGCGGCTCAGGGTAACCTTTCTGTTAACTGATGTATGACCAAGGGACAACCTTTCTGTCTACAGGGAGCCCCTCGGGTTCCCTCAGCCTGAAGGGCTGATACCTACACAGATCATCTCCATTGCTAGGGTCTCTTCCATCTGGCTGTTCCTGAGTCATACCTTTTACAATAAACCAGTGATCTAGTAAGTAACATGGTTCTCTGAGTTCAGTTGTAGAAAACTGATAGAACACAAGAAGGAGGTTGTGGGTCGAAGTACAGGTGACAACCTGGACTTAATAACTGGCATTCTAAGTTGGAGAGGTCATTGGAACCTCCAATCTGTGGCCAGTTGGTCAGAAGCCTAGGTAACCTGGACTTGAGCCTGGTGCCGTGTGTGTGTGTGTGTGTGTGTGTGTGTGTGTGTGTGTGTGTACACCTAAACTGTTACCTGAGATTACTGGAATTTTAAAGTATCCTTTAATATGAAGTTTTACAAGTTCATTACATTAGTTGTAAAAGGATGCTTTTCAGGTTGGAGATGCTTACCTTCATTCACTTCATCATTTTCTTTGTCTACTTGTGCTTTCAAAACGTATCGTTTTATAAGTCTTTTCATTATCTGCTGTTGGGCAAAAAGAAATGATTGCATCACCAATGATACACATAAGTAACCTGGATCCTATCTTCAAAGAGCCTACATACCTGTAAAGCAAACAACTCAGGGGAGAGCTATTTTATATAACTATTTACAGAAGAATCACCCAGGTTTCAGAATTTAAGCCTTTTTCACCTTCTACTGACATTTACTGCATAATTCGCAAACATCTCCCCACCCCCAGGAATGGAAGAAGCTTTTTCAAAAGTTAAGTGGGGAGATTTCAATTCATGGTTTCTCTTTCAACTAACGATTTTTCTTTAAGGTGTGTTGACACTACATCATCATCTATAGCAGCGGTTCTCAACCTGTGGGAACCGCTTGGGGGTCGAACCCTTTGGGGGCCGAACGACCCTTTCACAGGGGTTGCCGGGTACTCGTATGTGGGGGTATCTGCATGTGGGCCTTGAGACGGATAGAGAAGCGGTGTCTCGGTTCCTAAGACCATTGAAAATATGTGTTTTCTGGTGGTCTTAGGCGACCCCTGTGAAAGGTTGAGAACCGCTGATCTATAGACACTATCTTATTTCTCACTTTTTAAAAAAAATACAAATATATGTTCAACACAGAGAATTTGGAAAACGCAGAGAAGGACGAAAGAAATAAACAAAATTATCCATTATCCCACCATCCAAAGGTAATCACTGTTGTTATTTTAGTGTAGTCTGCCCTTCTAATACCGTTTCTTTAGATCCGATATATATATATTAATTACTATATGTGCAGTATTTTATGTTTTCTAAATACCATATATTTTGTTATATTGTATACTTTCCTCTTGTAGCAATATGTATTGTGAATATACTTCAATCTAAATAAATGCTCTTACAGGATAATTGTTTATCCATCTGGAAAAAATTACACTGGAGCCCTACTTCATACCATGGACACAAAAATTAATTCCACATGCCTTTTAAATGTGAGAGACAAAGCTTTTAAATCCTTCAAAATAAAGTGTAGGAGAATACATTTATAAATTCAGTACAGAGCTAGATGTTTTGTAAACAAGGTCAAAATATTATAATTACAATACACAAGACTGATAAATTCAACTTCATTACAATTAAGACTTCATTCAAACTTCTATTTATGAAGATACCATAAAGAAAGTGAAAAGGCAAACCACAAACTGAGAGAAAATATTGGAAGTAGTTGTAGCTGATGGCCAATTTGGATCCAAAATATATAAAGAACTTTAATTCAGTAAGAAAAACTCAAATAGCCCAATAGAAAAATGGGCAAAAGGCAGACATTTTACAGAAATGGAACTGTGAATGGTCAACAAGCATAGAAAACAATCTCTAACTCTTTTCTTGGGGAAATCCAAATTACAATTAAAAGGAAATACAATTTTACATCTAAAAAGGGAAAAAAATTAATAAATCTTATAATGCCAAGTTTTGGGAAGGATATGGATCAATGAAATTTTTACAGTTTACTGGCGTGTGTATAAACAGACCACTTTGAAAAATAATTTGGCCTTATTGTTTTCAGGTGAACATCCTTTCACCCAGAAAGTCCACTCCTTGGTATAGCGCCTAGAGAAACTTCACACATTTGGACCAAGAGACATAAACAACAATGTTTATAGCAATCTTGTCCAAAATAGCGGAAAAAAAACAAAAACAAAAACCAAAAAACTGCAAACAATCTAAACAAATATCGACAGAAGAACAGACAAATCATGGTATGGTACACAATATAATGTCACTGTGATCACTAACGAAATTAATGACATTAATGAACCACAGCCACACTCTACAGTATAGATGAATCTTAGGAGCATAAATGTTGAATAAAAAATCCAAGTTGCAGATGTCACGAAGTATGAAACCACTATTATAAAGCTCAGTAACTAGTAAATCTACATAATGCATTTTTAGGATTACTTACATATGCAATAAGCTTATCTTTGAAAAGAAAACCAAAGCAAGAGAATGAGCAACCCAAACTTCAGCAGAGGATGACCTCTTAGGAGGTGGCAAGGGTGTGGGCTAGCGGGGAGCACCTATGTACAGCCACTAGGCAGATAATGTTATCATTCTCAGGCGACAGGTGGCTTCATAGGTGTACAGGTAATTATAGTTCACAATTTATTATGTGTTACACATATTCTCATGCCTACATCAAAGATCACATTCAAAAGATAATAAAGGAAAGAAACAAAGGCCAGAACTAAAATGCAGATGTGGTACCCCCACTTAGCCATGGGAATTATTTTCTAAGAACCCCAGTGAATGTTTGAACCCTCAAGTAGTACCAAACCCTGTATCTACTGTTTTTTCCTATACACATATACCTAGGATAGTTTAACTGACAAATTAGAGAATTTCATGGATAGAAAATTAATTCTTTATGTAGATTTTAGTAATCTCAGCATATGAGATTATGCTGTGATTATATGATTAAGTGGCGAACTCTTACATTTTCACATAAAGGAAGCACTAACAGCTTTTCTTTGGTGTATCTGAATTGCCAGCATCACTGCTCTTGTGCACCGGGGCCATAATTAAGTAAACTGAGGGTGACTTGAACACGAGCCCTGTGATCGCATGACAGTCAATCTGAAGCCAATGTGGCTACTAGGTGACTAATGAACAGGGAATGTGCAGAGCATGGAGACTCTGGGTGAAGAGATGGGCCACGTCCCAGCTGGGACAGAGTGGGACGGAGTGAGATTTCATCAGGCTTCTCAGAACTGCCCACAATTTAAAACGTATGAATTGTTTATTTCTGGAAGTTTCCATGTAATATTTTCAGACCACGATTGACAGTGGGTAATTGAAATCTTGGAAAGTGAAACTGTGGCTAAAGGGAACTACTACTTGCAGCGGTTCTCAACCTGTGGGTCGTGACCCCTTTGGGGGTCAAATGACCCTTTCACAGGGGTTGCCAAAGACCATCAGAAAACAAAAAGATATTTACATTACGATTCATAACAGTAGCAAAATTACAGTTATAGAGTAGCAATGAAAATAATTTTATGGTTATGGGTCACGACAGCATGAGGAACTGTATTAAGGGGTCGCAGCATTAGGAAGGTTGAAAACCGCTGTACTACTGGGTTGTTGGAAAAGTCATGACGTATTTTTTCTGTTTTTTGTTGCAGAAATGCGTCATGACTTTTCCGACAACCCGGTATATAGCAAGAATGAAAAATACGTCTCAGCTTTAAGGAAGTGTAAATTATGAACCTAAGTGACCCATTAGATGCCAAGGTCAAGTAAAGTGAAGAATCTGGGATGATTCAAAATGCCTGTCTCATTGAATAATGACAGCTCAAGGAGGCTCATGCTATCGAAAAAGAAAAGCCCATTTACCAGTCACAGCAAAATGCAAAACCTTCCGGGCTCTGTGGAATCCAAACCCCAGAACAGACGCACAGCTGGGTTGTTAGTAGCCTGGACTCATTCATTCATTTACCAAATCTTTACTGAAAGCCTACTCTGTGCCAGGTAGTGATGTAGGTACTGAGGCCATAACAGCGAACACAGTCCTTGTTTCAGGGACGATTCACTGGAACAATGCACTATGGCGGGTGAACATATCAGGGACATAATTAAGTTTAGGGGACAGTGAAGGCAGATTCCCATAGAGAGAAAGAACAAAGGAACGTATATCAGTTTAAAGAAGCTTGAAGAATAGACTATTCAACAAATAATGCTGAGACAATGGACTATCCTTATGAGAAAGTTAAAATTAGATCTCTACCTCACTCCATAAACAAAAACAAAAGAAGAAAATTAAAAAAAACCCAAATGGACAAAAGATCTAAATATTTTAAAACTTTTAAAGAAATAGGGAAATATTTCTTGAAAAGGCTAACAAAAAAATCATAAGGAAAAGACTGAGAAATTTGACTATAGTACGACATTTTAAACTTGTATATAGGAAAGGGTACTGATGAAATATAACCTTATGTCAAGTGGGATTTTTTTCCTCTTGTCCTGGAATTGTTGATAAACCCCAAACTGAAGATGACAAAGGATGCTGAGTACCCCACGGTCTAAGACCAAGTTGCCACTGGCAGTTGGGGACCAGCTAACTCCCCCCAAGGCTTAGTAACAGATACTAGACCATACTCACCACCTAGTTCTCCTCATCACCCCCATACGGAGAACAGCTGAGATGTGGGAGGGATCATGAGCTCTTGGGGGAAGGAGGTTCTTCTTTCCTCCCTGTGTGGAAGGGAAGGGGTGTCCCCCCCCCAGAAGCTAAAAGAATGGGGAAATCCACGGCAATCACTCATAAAGATTAGAGTTGCCGAAACGAAAGGGAGCCTGGCATCCCGCTCCCCATTAAATGTGTCTATTCCAATTTACTGACTGTCTCCTGGCAATTAAGTCAGGGAGATAAGAGTGGGTCAGCCAGTGGGTCAAGCAGTATTCCTATTATTTGGCCAACATAAATATCCACTATGTTGGGGGGAAGGCAGTAATACACAACGTTGGGAAAGGGTGGCACTGGAACAATGGGCTATCATTACGGAAAGGGTGACAATCAGATCCACGCCTCAATTCAGAGCCAGGTCTCCAGGTCTGAGAGCTGTGCAAAGGGCAAGCAGCCCACATAGCTTAGACTGACGCCTAAGGGCTTACTGCCTGTTTTCTTCTAGGAGTTTTATAGCTTCAAGTCTTACATTCAACTAAGTCCATTTTGAATTTGCTTTTGTAGATGGTGTAAGATAGGGGTCCAGTTCCATTCTTTTGCATGTAGCTGTCCAGTTTTCCCAGCACCACTTATTGAAGAGACTGTCTTTCCCCCATTGTGTATTCTTGCCTCCTTGGTCATAGATTAATTGACCATATAAATGTGGGTTTATTTCTGAGCTCTCTTCTCTTTTCTGTTCCATTGATATTTGTGTCTCTTTTCATGCCAGTTTTGCAAGCTGTTTTGATTACTATAGCTTTGTATTGGGTTGTCGGGAAAGTTATGACGTATTTTTTCTGTTTTTCCGTTGCAAAAAT